GGTGTGATTGTGAAGCGTCTGCATCCCATGAATAACTCTGTGTTGTGTATTTTTTTGCCCGAGCGGGTGTGCTGAGGAGGTGGAGGGACACATGCACACTGAAATTATAGGCCAGTATCAATATTCAGTTTTCGTTGTCAAAAAAAAATGTTTGTGAGGCAAATTTTAGCAACACTTTTAAAGGGGATTAAAATAGGAGTGTTACACGAGCTGAGGTTGCTGTTAAATGGACACCAATGCACTTCAGATAGAGCTGACTGTCTCTCTGCTTTTTTATTTACTTCAGAAAGGGCTGACGGAGAAGGCATTGGCCAACTACAACACTATCCTGGACTACCTTGACAGTGAGTCCACACTAGATGGAGAGGAGAAGACGCGGCGCGACGCTCTTGTGCTGGCTGCACGGCTCAATCTGGCGGCCTGTCAACTCAAGCTGGGAGACAACCCCAGCGTTATCGAACACTGCAATGAGGCGCTGGAGATACAGAAAGACAGTGCGAAGGCTTATTTCAGGAGAGCTCAGGTAACTGTCGAAGCAAGGGAGTTCTATGCTGTGTTGATGGGGTGGATGATATAAATTGCCCATTGTTTCTATGGGCTCAAGATTATTCATAGACTGTTTTCCCATCTACGTACAGGGAGTGTAGTTACTCTTCTATTGTGCACATTAGGGGTGGGCGCTAGTCAATAGGGACCAAAATCAGAGCGTAATATAGATTAGTAGGCCTGTTCAGTATTTACAAAGATTCAACAGTGATGGGCGTATTTTGTGGCTCAGTCAAAAGTCACTTGGGTGCTGTGGTTCCAGCCTCAGGTCTCCTCAATTCATGGACCTTGTTGACCTGCTGATTCACTATAGGATACTGGGTGTCCAAGTGGCTCTTTAAGGAAGAGGTGCCTCAAATTGCAATCTTGCTCATTTCTAGCTATTTTGCGATGAAACTTCCGAGTATGACTAAGAATGATTTGAAAAATAAATACAGGGAATTTTTGGGGGAGGACATCACCGTTGCTGCGGAAACAGTGTACATCTTGAATTATAAACAATGTACAGAGGGTTCCTCTCAAAAAGTATTCAGTCAATTATGCTAAAAACTGTTTGACACATTACACCTTAACTCGCCCGGGACCACCCGCGCGACCTAGCGTCTTTAGAAACGAAGTCTCGTCTTGACGAGACTCTGGGGCCGAGATTTTGATTTGCATAGTTATTGCAAAAAGTTTCTTCTTTCTGTTGATCGGGCCAGTAGTTTTAGTATTAGAGCCCATCGAAATGCGATCGCATTACCGACACTTCGTAGGAGTCTCGACTTGTTGAAAAGCAACACAACTGAGTTCGAATATGGAAATAACGAAGGATTTGAGCAAAAACATGCATATGACAAATCAGATGACTCAGATTTTGATGAAAACGTTGTAGCAAAAGTTTGGGGTGATTCAGATTGATCGGACGTAGAAAATCTAGAATTTAGATCTAGGGCCCGACCGCGAGGCTGAGAGTGAAAGTGGCGGGTCGGACACCCCGATTGAACTAAAGTTATAACATTTCCAACAGTTTGCGCATACATAAAGTTATATTTTTCTGAAACTACATTCATTATTCGTTTTAACTTTTATTTTTTCAGGATTTTTGGAATTTGTTTAGTATTTTTTTAAATAAAGTGTTTTTTTAAAGGCTTGTATTCACGGGAGGTGGGTTCCTTCCCCTTGCTTCCCGTCCAGACCCTTAGGGTGTAATTTGTTAAAACACTAATTTAGGCACATATCTAGGTAACTGGCCCTTTGAAATGATTAAATTTGGAGTAAAACTTTTTACAGATTTTCTAAATGTATGTGTACAGGTGTTGTTATATTTTTACTCCCTCATGACGTCTTATGGTCAAAATTCAACATTTACTTGTGTATTTTGAGAGAAATAAATAGCCCATTACCTAAAATAACATATTATCTTCATACACTGAAAATTTGAAGGCTATAGCTTGAATACTTTTTGAGAAAATATGGTTTTTACAGTCAAAGAAAGCTTTCACAAGTACTCTATCCACATAAGGGACCCTAAAACAATCTCTTACATTGGAACAAAGTGTAACAATGTATTTCATAGCAACAATAGCAATAGTGTCTTAAATGCCTTCAGGGAATCCACTACCCACTTAGGTTTTCTCCTCCTTTCTCTTCTTTTCCTGTTCACCTTGTTCTTCTTCTTAGCTGGCGTCTGTTTGTTTACATACTTTACTGAGCACGCAGGTGACATGGAAGAGTTTTTTCCGTTTTTCACTGCTCAAGCACCGTGATACCGGAGCCGGCCGAACAACAACTTCAGAAATGCAAATGAGCATGGGAAAAAATGAGGCCAACCACATGGTCACCCAGCCCAATGAAAACAAAGAAAGTGCATTTGCATAGGGAGAATTCCCCTTCCAAGTAGTCACTTGTTTCTGTTAGTATTGAAGAAACCTTTCAATAATCAGAATCTTCAATTCCCAAGCTTTCCGGTAATGTATAATTTGCCTATATTCAAATAATAGGAAATTAAATTTACCATTGTTCTACGGGGGGGGGGGGACACAGTTATTGTGGCACACAGTACTCTCTCAGTGCAATGTTTGGGACACCCTAAGAGCAAATGTGGCTTCCAGAACATTATCAAAACTCTTTACCGTGAATATAATGGGGGGGGGGGGGGGGGGGTTTTAAAACAAGGTTTGGCTGTACAAAGAAAAAAAATTTATTTTTTTCCTCCCGAAATAAAATTTACCCAAATTTCATGGACACAGGGTTAGATTCAGACACTTATGATATTGATACAGATGTTTGTGTGTGTTCAAGCCTTGAAAAATGCAAACATACAGGGGGGAGGTTTTCTTGTTTGTTTGGTTTTTTTGACATTGTGATAAAATCTAACCTTCTTTGCTGCAGGCGCATCAGAACCGAAAAGACTTTGACTTGGCTATTGAAGACTACCAGGAAGTGATAGCTCTGGAACCCAACAACAAAGCAGCCAAAAACCAAATGATTGTGTGTAAGAAGGAACAGCAAGCAGCCTATCAGAAAGAGAAGAAACTGTATGCCAACATGTTCAGTAAAGTTTCACAGCCGGATTCCAAGGTGGGGGGTAGGTTGTCAACTGTTAAATGTGAACAGTAAAATTTAATTGGCATCAAGAGTCAGCTACAGCCTGGCACGGATAAATCAAACACGTCAGGATTGACAAATGTTCAACACATCTATAATTTGGGTAAAACGATAAAGCAGAAGGAAAAAAAGATATCAATATCAGTCAAGGAATGGCTAACTGTAGAGCTATCAGTGATCTCCAAGTTTTGCATGTTCGTGTTATCTGTGCCAGGCTGTATTTTCATCACGGTTTCCTATTTTGACCATACGGAGAAAATGTATAATTTGTGTGAGATTTGCAGCCTGGTTGATATTGTCTCTCATAGACCTAATAATCGTCTCTGCATGGTAGATTTTTTTCAAACTGGTTGGTGCAATGTTAATCTGGTGATGTAATATTTTAGCAATGTTTTAACACTGTTCTATTTTGTGTGGTTAAGAAACACTTTTAAGTTTTCATGGTCTGACTGTCATGAAAGTGTTTGGCCTCACACAGTTTCAATGCTAAAAGCTTTCTTTTAAATATATTTATATATGGAAGTGATGGTGAGGACATTGCTCTGGCCTTTACTTTTTTAAAAATTTATTTTTGTATTAGTGTGACTTTTTTTTTACCATGTGTAGTTGTGGAAAGGATCAGATTGTGCTTATTTCAATGAGGTTAAATTAAGTCTCCTCTGTTGGGTTAACATAGGGCAGTGATGCCAATACTCAGACGGAAAGCACGCATTATTTTTCCAAATCCGTGTAAATCAAGAGCTACTCGGCGACGAATGCTAGAAATAGACGGAACTGGCAGAGATTTGTAGGAAAGAGATAATCAAGCAGTCACCTCGAGCCATGCAGTGTGTAGCGTGTACCTCTGGTGGCCAATTCTCTGGCAGTACAGCGGGGCAAATCTACTTTAGTTTAATGGGGATGGGACTGTTGGTGAATGGTGGTGTCCATTCCTTTGTGTACCGTACATAATAAAAACCTGGAGGTAAGCAGGGCTGGCGGTATAACAGGGGGTGGTATGTGAAGGTCTTTCTGTATATTTTTTAAACAGTGCATAAACACTACTGAAAATGACTTTCCCTAGCCTTAATCATTTTAAAGCATAAAAATCATAATATTGAGGGTGAAGCTCCTGTTGGTGTTTTTGATGATTTTTCTAAGTTTTTTGTCACTCTGCACAATACCTTGCTACAAAAACTATATGTTGGCCTCATAATACTACTTCTACCACTACTGGTCCTGAACTTAATTTGATAGACCAAATGTTTTGCTTGATAAAATTGTGCTTCTATCTCTTTGTACAGAAAAGTGATACAGCTGAAAATACCAGTGTGTTCAGGGACGGGATCGGTGAATGGAACAATGACATGGCAGCGGGGATGATGCCATTGGACCAGGAAGTGGCCGCATTTGGCGACGTGATGCCAATTTCCCCCGGCAATAACAATGGACTCAACCACAGAGTTTGACATTCACACTTGGGCCCCACACAATAATTTTTCTCTACCATTTTTTCTCTCCATTTCATCAGAATATCTCGGCACCCGTACAGGATTTTACTTTTTGAATGTTGATTATGTATGTTTACAGCAAAGGCTTTTTTTATGTTTGAGACAGTTGTTTCGAATAAAGAATGTGTTCTAAGCAAAGAGCTTATAGACACTTGTTTTTTGTGTTTCCTCTATTGATTGTGCTGTAGTTAATGTGGGCTAACAATGGGAACAAGACAAACCTAAATAAGCGGATGGTTGGCGGGTGCTCTGGTGTGGTTTGCTCCTTCTTTCGTATCAAACATCTATCGTCTGTATCTCCCCTTCTTCTTTTTTATGTTTGTTGCTCTCATGTAACACCTCTAATCTTCTTGTGCTCATATGACCTTATGCAGTTGCGAGCGCCGTAAAACCTCTACTAAAACAAACAAACCTAAATAATAAAGAAATAATATCTTGGACGCACACTGAAGTAGTATAGCCTTTTGGTGGCTCTCAGAAATATACTGTTGTTTCTAAAGCCTGTCTGTTACTCTTACTAATGGAAACCTTTGATTAAATTCCACAAAACCACCAGTGCAACACATTTACCAAAGGGCAACTGATTTCTCAGATACTAAAAAGACAACATGATACATTAACACAACTGATTGGTACATCCCAGCTTTCTTCTTTATTTCAAATCATTTTTAATACGAAAAAACAAATTTAGATTGAACGTAAATATTATATGTTTTGTGCCCCCAACAAGACAATTTGTAAGGCATCGCGGTGAAATCAGGCAATCATTAGAATAATGAAATAGAAGAAAATGGCATTTTTCTGTCCATTTGGCAATTTTTATCAAATTTTCGTTTTTTGACTAAACACCTTTAAGCTCCATTTAAAAATACATTTCTTTGTGGATTTTACAGAAAAGTATTGATTTAAGGCAGAAGACTAATTTTATTTTTACCTTTGAAACCAGGCGACCCCCGGCTTCTTCAACTTCAATCGCAGTATCTCGACTTCTGTTCATGATCTGAGTATTTTTTTCACCGAAAGCAAGACAAAGGAACAAGCTTTAATTTTAAAATGATACCATAACTCATGCCTAAAAATTGATGAGCACCTGATTCCACAGTGTCATCACACATATATTTAGACCATTTAACTTAATTAAGAGTTGAGCTGCTTCAACCCAGTTGAGAGACGTACAGTTTCCAAACAACAGAGATGGAAACTCAGTAATAAACTTCCCCATTAGGGAAAAAAGAACTTGTACCTTCCAAAAACAAAACGAAGAGCAATATATACCATTTCATGACGCTGATGTACAATCCAAGTTCGTCAAAAAGTACTTCATATACATAGTATCTGTATCCAATTGTAATTCTAACAGTGTATCTGCCAAATTAGGACAAACCCTTTTTTTATTTAAAAAAAGAAGAAAACAGAACACCTTTCTAATTGTGAGGCAGCGTGGTGGAATCAGGCTCTGGTCAATTTTTGGGCATGTAGAGTTATTAGTATCATCTTAACGCTTGTTCACTTGACTTTATTTGGATGAAAAAAATATCCATTTATCTTGAATACAAGTCGAGATATTTGTAAATGAAGGAGGTGGGGGTCACCTGTTTTCAGAGGTAAAATTAGAAAATGGCCGCCAAATATTAGTTATCTCTTTATCTTAAGAGTCCGTGGTAACTAAAAATTTACATTTTTTGTGCCTTTAATCAACGTTTGTCAGAAAAATTCTCACAGAAATGAGTTCTTTAATGGGCATGAAAGGTGTTGAACCAAAAAACAAAAATTCATAAAAATTCATAAACCTGTAGAAAAATGCAAGTTTCCTCACTTTGATTATTTTGACGAGAGCCTGATTCCACCACGTTACCTCACAATTATATTCCAAAACTGCTCAAATTTCGTGCTCTGTGATTTTTTAACTTATTGTAGGACGTGTATCACCAATAGAAATAGCAGTTGTTAATAACATTTTGAGACAACAACAAAATGTTTTACCATATTTGGCGGATACATATATACGGAGTAGGACATCAATGAAAGGTTTCTAAAGGCAACTTAAAAGAAGTGCAATCCCAAACAAAAAATTATTTTTATATAGTAGAATATATGTGAGGCAGCGTGGTGAAATTGGGCGCTCGTCAAAATAATCAAAGTGAAGAAACTTGCATTTTTTCGCAGGTTTGTGAATTTTTATCGAATTCTTGTTTTTTGGATCAACATCTTTCTTGTCCTTTAAAGAACACATTTCTGTTTGGATTTTATTGAAAAACGTTGATTAGAAGCTCAAAAATACGTACATTTTTAGTTTCCATGGACTCTCAAGCTAAGGAAATTAATCTTTGGCGGCCATTTTCTCACTAATTTTACCTCTGAAACCAAGTGATCCCCACCTCCTTCATTCGCAAATATCTTGACTTTTACTCAGGATAAATGGATTTTTTTGTCATCCAAAGCAAGACAAATGAATGAAGACGGTTTAAGATGATACCAATAACTCTACATGCCCAAAAATTGACGAGAGCCTGATTCTACCATGTCATGACACATTTATATGGGCATACCCAAAGTTTTAAACATGACCATGACATGAAGGAATAAAGGTAGAAAGCTGAAATTTGGGGTGAAAGCCAACAATCATCTTCATAGAATGCATGTAATGTAAATTTTGGGAAATTTCTGATTACTGGTTTTAACACCAGCGCACTGTGTAAGTGAATGGGGGTATGTTGTTCTCCAGTTTCAACATAAAAATGGAGACAATTGAACTCAGGGCAGTAATGAAGCTTTTGTTCTTGCACGGCAAGCAGCTGCAGGATATTTTTACGGAGATGCATGCCATATATATGAAACTAATTGCCCTTTCTATGCTGTGATAAAATTTTGGTGTAAAAATTCAAAAGCAGATTCATAGACATTGAAGGTGACCAGCGTGACGGTCGCCCAGAGACAACAACAGCAGAAGAGAATGTGTTGAAAACCAAGAAACTTGTGTTGCGTGATAGGTAGGTGACAGTCGAACGTTCAAGCAAAGAAACTAGGCTTAGCATTGGATCAGCTGAATGAATCTTAAATGAGCATTTGAATATGACCAAGGCTTCAGCTAGATGGGTCCCATGTTTGTTGACTCCTCAAAAAGTGCTACGTGTGCATAGTTGGCAAGAATTGCTTGGTCTGTATGAAAGTATGAGACAAAATTTTTTTTGAAAGACTTGTAATCATGGATGAGACCAAAAATATATAACTGTGGGAGGCGACGACATAGAGAAAGATTAAGGTTAGTTTCAAATTTCAGCTTTCTACCTTTATTCCTTCATGGTCAGGTAAAAAACTTTTGGTATGCCCCTCGTATGTTATGTAGTATTATATCATATATGATATATGCAACATACAATATGAACATTTGATTATAGACAAAGTATAATAATTTTTTTATATTATAATTTAATAGCATCTGTGTCACCAGGAAACAAGCTGCGTCATCAACAAGCACCTGAAGCTACGTGAAGTACAAATGCATAACAACATGTTTGTCCTATCAATAGTTTACTCCAGTCAGGGTGAAAGAATAAAAGGAAAGTTGCCCCACCTACCTAACTCTCAACCACTGAAGATTCTTGCTATTTGTGTAGATCAGATCATACTAGCATCTGCATTTGTTGCCATTTATTTGTCCAAAAGATGCCACAAAAAGTGGCAAAAGTTGCCATGCCATTAATTTTCAAGCTTTCAACTCTCTGTTGCCACGTATAGCAATATATGTTGATATAGGTAACAATCTAAAGCACCAGAATTTCTTGTGCTCTGTTTTAAGTATCCAGAATATCATTTGTAGTCATCCAGAGAGTGTAAAAACATGAAAAATAAAGGTATCACAACAGAATGATAATAAAACCCAACTAATTAGGGTGCATGTCCACCAAACCGAACACTGGCTGTTTTAACCCTAAATGAGTGTAATTCAAGAAAAAGTAGGCCTACAAGATATTACATGAAATTATGGAACCACACAAAATTGGGGCGAGCCAGTGTCAGTATTCCGTTTTGGTGGAGACACACTCTAACGTAACATATTTATATTTTTAAAAGGGTAGGAACAGCATCAAATTAAATGACATTACGCTGTATAAATACCCAAAAAAAACAACAACAAATCATCAGAACAATTTTTAGAAAAATTAACGCTCCAACACATTAAAACACAACAAAGAGGGAAAAATAAAAGGCAAACAGCAATATAAATATTATGTAAAGTAGGCTACTTATATATTCTCCACTTGAAAATAGATACACATACATCTTATAACTTATCAAAATATATGTCTAACATGTTATGAAGTAGCTTTGTTGTTTTGTCTTTTTTGAAAAATGCAAAAATCGCGGCCGCGATTCGCGGACCAAAAAATTCCCAAAATCGCGACAAACGCAGATGCTAGATCATATAGCAGCTGTCCCAATTCCAATGAACAAAAAGTTTCCTTCCTGCTCTTTGGCTGGACTGAGGCAAATTAATAATAATAATGCCAAAGATCATAATAATACTTATTTAAGATATCACTGATTGTCATTGAAAGTTAGCCTGCCCTCAGCCTAAAGCTGCCATGGGTTGAATATATGGCATAGAACTATTTTTTCTAAAAATTACTGGTGAAAACTAAAAGGTATTATAATGCACAAAAACTGGAAAGCTGGGTTGTAATTGTAAATGACTGTCAGTCTTAACTGTGAGGCTAAATTTGGCCTGGAATTGGAATAGATTTGGTGAGCTTTTTTTTTACAGGGTTTTTGAGTAAGGAGTAGCACATCAACACAATATTGGAAAAAGTAAGGCACATAACGTCATAGATTAGTAAAGAAGTAGTACCTGGCAGCGAAACCCGCCAACTACTGGGAGAAAGTTGAATGAACACATGATGGCGTAAAAAATAAAATGCAAACAAATGACGAGCCCAACGATGTAAAAACGAGCCTAACAAGACAACAACAAGCATTAAACTAGACAGCAACAATAAAAGATCAGATCAAATGTGTCTGTCAAAGGTCCAGAAATAGGAAAAAAGACAATGCAGGAAGACATAATCCGTTCCCATGATTTTATGGAGAAAAAAAATTCTGAAATTTTGCAAACTGAGCCCAAAAATGGGGAATTATGCGATTCTGTTAATTTTAACAAAGAATGATAATGGAAAAAAAAAAAGAAATTATGCAAACAATGATCAAATTTTGCTAAATTATGCGGGGTGCATAAAACCACGGGGACAGTATAATATACTGGTGGTAGCCATTACTCAGCAGTCCACTTCTCGGTCAAACTTACGCACAAACGGACCTGCTCTAATGACCACTTGTATATATATATATATATATATATATATATATATATATATATATATATATATATATATATATATATATATATATATATATATATATATATATATATGAGACAATCACCTATACAAACGGCTACTTCCCATTCCTCCCCTTGCATTTTCTTTTAGTTTTTTCTTTTTTTTACCATTATAATGACACTGCTTACCACATCCACTTGTCTAAGATGACCATTTTTCTCCTCAACAAAGGGTGGTCATCTTTGATAATTTAAACTGTATCTGAGAACCCGCACAGGGTACCTGTCACACTCACAATGATTCTATCTAACATGCATCATCCCCTGTCGAGGAGAAAAGTGGTCATCTTAGACAGATGGCCAAAGTGGTCATTAGTTCAGATGACCGACTGTCTTGGACTGGTGGTCATTAGCAAGTAAATGTTATATATTATTAGAGCAGGTTCGACTGCAGGTCTATTATTGCAAATACACAAATAAAAGGAAGTTAACATAATAAGGCAAATGGAAAGAGGACAAGGGACACAGTTGACATGAATATGTATGTAGCCATTCTCAAACAGTGAGCTTTAAAACCATTGCTCATTGCAGCAACCCATACATGTGTACTTTCAGACAATATAGGGCCTATATGTCGCAGCATGGTGGAATCGGGCACTCGTCAATTTTGGACATATTGAGCTATTGGTATAATCTTAAATCCTGTTCATTTACCTTGCTTTTGAATTTTAAAAAATACCCAAGTATGTTCAATAGAAGTCGAGATATTTAATTTTTCGACTGAAGGAGTGAGGGATCACCTGATGTCAGAGGTAATATTAGCAAGAAAGTGGCCACCAAAGTTTGATGACTTCCAAAGCTGTGCCTTTGATCAACATTTTTCAGTAAAATCCATACAGGAATGTGCTGTAAAGTGAGCATTAAAGGCATTGACCCTAAAACAAAAAAATATGTAAAAATTACCAAACAGGCGCAAAAATGTTGATATTATAAATTTCATTATTTTGACGAACACCACGATGCCTCACATATTTCTGTGCCTTTTTCACTTAAACACAATAAATGCACTATATTCTCTGTGAGATTTCATTTGTTTTGATTTTTAAAATGAGAAGATAATAAGATACAATATTTACACAGGGACATGGGTCATTTTTTTCATTCCACCACTAGGAGTGACATACTCAAACCCAGTATGGCATACAAGCATCATAGAAATTAAAATGAAACGTTTTTCTAGATCTAAAGCTTCCCTTTTCATTTGATTTTGAACATCCATTTATATATGACTGAGCTTCATAAAAGACATCTACATTATAACGCAACAAATGTATGTACTCATAATAAAAACAGTACTTTTAATTTATATCAAAATAGTTTCACTGAAAATGCCTAACTTTATACTTTTCCTTTTGAGTTGGGTTGTAACTGGCAAAGTAAAAGAGGCACTCTGCTCAATCTCATTCTTTCAAGAATGGCTCATGTAATTAATTTTCCATCAAATTTCAATGTCTGGACTTCCAGCTGGGAGCTGTTGTTGCATTCCAGAATGACATCTATGATCTAGCAATGACCAAAAATAATCCTAGGAAACAACATAAAATACTTACTCTTGAAAAAGAAAGCTTGACAGGAACATAACGCTGACAAGTAAGATAATACTGTCCTTGAAAGTAAACCTTGATCATCAATGATTTATATATAGAGGCACCAGCCATCCATGTCCAGGTGCTGTTTTAGCCGATTAAAAGTAAAATGGAAGAAAATGGAAAAAGTTTTGATTTAAATGAAATGCAACAAAAGCAAAAACAATACTGAAAACTGGAGAAAAAAAAATACTGAGCACTGATGCTTTGCATCTAATCTCCGTGACTTCAAATATATGTAGAACTACAGTAAAACTGCTCTATTTCTCTCATGTACAAATCCGATTAGATGAACTGAAATTGAAATGTTCACATTTATAACTTTGGGTTACACTCAAAAACATTTTCTTCCTCTGAACACAAGGTAGACTGTTGACCTCCCTGGGTTGAACCACCAAGAGATCTATATGAACTTCCTGTTCAAGAGATTCCTTATAATTATAATGCAATTACAGCAACAGCTATGGCACAGCATACTATAGAGAATAGAGACAACCCAAAAAGTAAAGTCATACCTATCCAAGACGACCATCCACTGTCAAGCAGAAAAGTGTTCATTTTAGACAGGTGATCCTCTTGGACATTTCTTCAGACACACATACACACACACACACACACACACACATGTATATATATATAAGCTGATTTGGCATAATATCATTTATTTCCCAGAATTGAGTTTCAGCATAGTAGCTGTAATAGTCAAAATATAGGAATGCAAATTCAAGTGACTGCACAAAAACTTTTTTCAGAACTTGTCTCACATATATATATTATTACTTAACATTTTTTTAGCTTTAGAAAAAAATTAGCATCTTTCATTCTTTATTAGCATGGGAACAGCAAAAAAATAATAATAAAGCAGGGCTCATGACACAAGAAAAGCCAGACCATTCAGTATTAAGACCTTTATATATGACATCTGGAAGTGTGGACCTGCGCACTGAAAGTTTAAAATTCACACTCAATGAAAATCCTAGCCTCTTGAAGGCTGAAAATATTTCTAGAGTGCCAAGCATGGGTGAAAGTTTTCCGGCATATGCCGGAATTCCGGCTTTTGAAAATAAGCTTTCCAACTTTTCCGGTTTGGGACAAATTATAAAGATTTCAGAAGTAGTCATTCTCCCCATCCAAAGTTTCTTGCTCTTTGCATTTCGTTACATTGCTGGTCTGTATCAGCTTGCCCTACTGGCCAAAATGAGCGTTACACAGAAATAACCCAATTAGATTTATGTCGCAGCATACACTACACCCGCGATGTTAATGCTCTGGCAAGACCGCTCTGTGATTTGCCCAGGTTTACCGTTTAGCCGTACTTTGCAATTTGTGACTGGTTTTGACATCTTTGGCTCATGTTTGTGTGTCGTTTGGACAAGCACAAGCGCGTCGCGGTCAAACTTTAAAGATTGCAAGTTATTTATCTTATTTTTTTTAAAGGAAATTCATTCTTTCATTAAATGTAGATAAGACGCGGATAGAATAATAGATGTAGCAAACATAATTTGAGGTCCCGAATTTTGTTGTCTTGGAGCCTAGTATATTATTCTGTGTACCAAAACACACACAAAAACTTGACAATTCGCAATAGCAAGGAAAAAAATCAGCGACATAGAGGGAAGATTTAATTACATGCAGGCCTATAGTATACGGCGCAAATTTCGTTTTACCAATGGAGAGAGAGAGAGACAAGGCCTCTATGACCTCTCAATAGGCCCAAGCCAGGGGCAGTAGTGTAGCCTGGGTGTAGATCTAGGCCAAGGACGTGTTTGTTTCATACCACACAGGAATATTCAGCGGTAGACCTAGACCTAGCTTGCACACTTTATGCCCACTACTAATGGGATCGGCCGATCGGCCGACTCGGTCGCCTCAAAAACAAACTTGTTAGTTTTGTTTCAGGCCACCGAGTCAGGCAATCGGCCCGATCCAGCCCTAGAGGACACCCTGTATTAATGCGTGGTAGTCTAGGCTACTGGACCCGTAATCTCAGAATTCTCCAATGATGGCCTGATAACTGTTACAATTGCAGTGTACAAATGATCAATATTATTCATAGTTCTGCTTTTACTTTCAAAACAAGCTTTATCCAACTCAATTTCTGTTTTGGCGGGCCCGTCATCAAGACCCGCGAGTAAAACTTTCAATCGTGCGTTTGCATCAAACATGACATGACTTAGGCGTGCGAATTTTGCGTGCGTCAGGGACCGTTCGTTGACGGGGTCAACTTAAGTTCATGCACACTAGCTGGTGGGAGCGTCTTTCGAGGCTTACGGGAAAAATAATAATATTATAAAACACACACGTGCGCACAGAGGGCATATACATGGAATATATTTATGGACACCCCTGGAAAAATTTTTTATTCATCTTGGTGATTTGTCGTTGATCCCAATTTTTTCCCTGAGATCCTGATTTTTTTATTTAACAGAGTGGCAGATTTGGTTTAAACATGCGAGTGGAGAGTCTGCTTGTGAAGGCACGTAGCCGGTAGGGTCCTATTGTCGCCACATGTGTCAGCGCTAGTGTTGGGCTTTAGTCGATATCGATATCGGGTACTCATCGATACTGATTTTCTTAGTCGATACTCGATATCGCAGAGTCCCTTAGTCGATACTGATCAGTGTTATGATTGTAGTGTTTGCCGCCTAATCTGCATGATATCAGAGAGAAACGTGCTGTCTACAATCACCCGTCTTTAGTTTCTAAATAGGCTTAGTCATGTTGAGAAAGAGGAAAAGCACTGTTTGGACGCATTTTGAAGAGCTTACAGGAAACAAAGAGGCCAGGTGCCTTGTTTGTCACGACATATTAAAGCATCATGGGAACAGCACAAATCTCATGAAACTTCTCAATGCCAAACATCCTAGCGAAAATGCTGCACTTGACAAGGAGAAAGGCGGTAGCAGCAGCGATAGTTGCAGCGCAGGACCTGCAAAGCAGATGAAGCTATCAGATTGCACCCGTTCAGAGCCCTACCCGCCTTCACACTTCAAGAAGAAACTTCTCGATGACAAGGTAGTCAAAATGATTTGCATTAAAAAAAAAAAAAAAAACAATAAACAATACAGGCAGTAGGGCCTGGTAAGCCGAATGACTGACACCGTGACCTTTGACCTTTCATCTATTAAAGCGCTTCACGGAAACAATACGGTGAGCGCTATTTTTAGCCTTTGGCGACGTCACAGTATCCATATCGAGTATCGATCGATACTGGGAACGCGGGTACCCGATACTACCCAATACTAGCTAATATCGATTAACGCCAAACACTAGTCAGTGCTTTCTCTTCAATAGAGATTACGCACTATGTAGCAGCTTACCGACGTTCTGTACAGTTAGATCTAGGTGAAGTTGTTGTAGTAGAGAGTGAACCGTAGCGGAGCAAAAAATACGTCCAAAGACTTCTAGGTTGATGACAAACGGCTGATCCTAGCAGAGGTGGATGAAAAATCAATACATAAAAAAACCCAGTCGGCAAAACGTTGGGATTCCGAACCAAAGAAAAAAACCGGAAAATATTAAGAGTGGTGTGTTCCAGCGACGAAAAGGCATAAACTGATAAAGTAAAGGGCAGTGGAACAGGCAGTGTTTCCTTGGTTTCAAAATGGGAAGGCCATATCCACAATTTCTATGTCAAGCCAAATTATTTCAGTGAAGACTGAGGACTAAAGCATTAAAATTTACAAATTAAATTGCCATGAATCCATCACACACGCCGGTTTTGCATAAGGGGACATAATTCATGTAAATTTTTATCCTGATTGTCCAACTTGGTTATCTTCCTTGGTGCAGCCTAGAATTTGTCCATTGCAAAATTCGTACATAACGAAAAGATTTCTATGTCCATATTTCAGTTGTAGTTCAAAAACTACAAATGTGGTCTGTGACAGTGACACGACACTTTAAAAAAAAGTTTGTCTCAGTGGGGATTGTGATAAGATACTTTGTAGTGTTAGTTAATACATCTGTGAAAAAATTAACATCCAGGAATAGCACATTGCAGTTTCGCGGACCCAGGGGCAGAACCCAATTGGAAGGATTGTTGTCAAAAGGAATGCATTGATGAAAGTATATGTTCTAAATGTATGTATCTTGAAGGAATGTGTGTATTTCATAACATTGTGTGTGTTTATCTAACGACTGACGACGTTTCTCAACGTGTGTAATTTTCAGGCGTACGCATTTGACTAATTCGGATTTCAGGTTTTTGAACCTGTCAGTGCTTTCACCCATGGTGCCAAGAAAAGATCAACAAAGCAGAGACTCACAAAAAAATGGCAGCAAAAAAAAACAAACAGAGACAAGACTTAATCTCATTAAACAGAAAACGAATTCCAACAAAATGGCACAGAGTTGCTGATAAATGCGTGAACACAAAAATCTCAAGAGTCTGCAGCTGAAACCAGTACGTCAACACAGCTAGTAAGAGAGTATCATCAACAGTCAAGGAACATTGGCAAAGTGGTTTTGACATCTCCACACATAAAATGTGAATAAAACCTGTTACAAAAAAATGGATCTAGAACATCTTAGCCATTTAGATCAGAGCTGCCATCTTAGACAGTTAGGGAACTCCAACAAAAATTGCTAGAACATATTCACAAGGAGAACGTGAATAAAATCTGCAGCATGTAAAAGAACTCAGAGAGAATCTTAAACTCCTCTTACCATTTACATAAGAGCAGCTAAGGATATCTCTACATAAATGTAAAATGAAAACGCTGTTCTTGAAGCACAAAAACTTGCCATCCTCCTCTCAAGTCAGAGCAGTGCTTGTTCTCACTACAATGATTTCCATTGGTCCGTAGCCCTGGGGCAGACTATGCTGGTCGATCAGTTCCAGCAGAGTTTTTTCCTCATCAGCTTCCTTTTCATTGGGCAGAATCCATGTATGAACAGGCGGAACTCCAAACTGAATAAAGCAAAGAAATAAGTCAGTCATGGAATTGTTGAAGAATCTCAAATTTCAACTATTCACTGTAGATACCATTACTTCTGAAAATAAAACCATTATTTCTACAAGACTTTAAACCAACTTGCATGTCCTCATTACGGAGTATACATATATGCATTGTCAAATACTCTGCTTTTGAAAAGAGCCGATCTATAGTTATGTATCCCATTGAACATGACTCACAATAACTCTTGTGACCAAACACTTTATTCCAACTTCCCCACGTCAGTCTCCCAAGGGACAACCAGTGCCACAGCCTGTTAAGTATAAGTATAAGGCATGTGTTCCATCTCCACCAATTCCCTTAGCAGTCACTGGGTGGTTGGAGAGCGCCACTGATAGGGCCAACTTCTTTTCTTTCCAGCTGTCTTTCTGTCCGTCTGTTTTCCTTTTTTTACCTACACTTAATAACCATTAATGTTTCAATGTGCTTCCCTTTATTCAAACAAATCAATTCCCTTCAACAGCTAAAAAAAAAAGGGGGCAAACTGCCTTTCCTAAGGATACAATATTTTACCTTACTACAGAGCTGGGAACCCAACTCTGAGTTTACTCTAACTTCTGTATTGCAAGCCCAATACTTTACCACTTGACAAAGAGTATCATATTGCCAGAAACATACAGAGAAAGAATCTGTCAGCTAGATTTTAAGATTTCAAGTAATTTGGCAAATAATTCGTCTAACGTCTAAATCAGAATTAGCAGGCAAGAAGGCCACCTCTTCTTGTGTTTACCACAAACTCCCACACTGATGAAGGAAACAGCTAAAGAGTCCATTCCTCAAACTAAAAGCTCTCTTTTCTCCCAGTCTCACTGTTCCACTAAAAAAATAAACATTTGATTTTTTCAAAATTTCTAAAACAAAGAAGAGAATCAATATCAGGTGACACCACAAGCAACACTGATCACCATCAACTCTGTAAAGTGGCCATACGATGTAGTCAATGGTCCAAAGAGCCTTCACAAAGTAACCAGAAAAAGAAGTAAATCTTAAATATAATGTCAACACGACACTGTGAGTGTGAGTCATAAAAACCATTCTTCGAGTCTCCCACAGACCTGGTTTCCTGCTTTTGCAAAATTTAAAAATTTCTCATTATCTATATTTGCCATTAGCATGACCTACAACAAAGCTTGTATAATTTCGATGAACAAGGATAAGTACCTATACTCCTTACTGAAACTTGATAGAGGCTTTTATGCATTCAGCGCTTACTGTTTGGCTAGCACACACCTACCCTTGAACTCAGTTCCTGTTGCAAGTTCTTCACAGGTACTTTGCCCACACATCGAATCTAGGGACAGGAGAGAAATGAAAAATAAAACATGACGCTTGTGAGAGATAGAAGGAAGGCTATTGCCACAGACTAAACATAGACTACAGATAACAGGTTTACGAGAAAGAGGCTACTGTCAGAGCATAATCCAAGATGTCTGTCACCAAAAAATAATAACTAAAGGAGAACGCTGTTTCCATCAATGAGTTTACAAAATATAATAGGAAACTTACTTTTTAAAGTGAAAGGTATGGGGTTTTTTATAATAAATTACAAAGTCTGAGCATGACGCCCTGGTGACAGTGGTCTTGAGGTACAGTGTTCGCCTCTCATTCAAAAGGTCCCGGGTTCGAAACCTGACAGCCACGAAAAATTTTCTTCTTTAATATTTTCTCTTTTCACCTTCTTTCCTGTTCGTTCAACTGCTTTTATCTCCCCCCCCCCTCTCCCTACTACCCCTGTAGTGGAAAAAAGGTTAGGGTAGACCCTAAAAAAAATTGGAACAAAACAAAACGTATACGGTTCGACAGATAAAATTAGTAATATATTAAAAATCAGCATTCGAACTCATGGAGGAAATAGCTCAAAAATGCGTTAACGGTAGTCAAAAAAAGCAAAACTTATACATTCAAACCAAATCCGTTTATCATAGTTGCTTTGACACAATAATTTTTTGAATTTACGCGAAAATGAGGTACTCGTCAGCGGTATCTGTGCTTTTATGTCAACAAAGTAACGATTCATGTAATAAGTATGGAAAGCCAATAGATTATGAAAGCGTTTTCTCTCACACCCTCAGACGGAGCTTTTCAGCGGATGTTTGTACGCCATGTAATTTCCCTCTAGAGAATTGCCCCTTGTGCAATTGACATAACAAGGTGTGAAGGGTATTCTCGCAGTTGTAGGCCTACAACATTAAAAGAACAATATATGCATTTGATTGAGGGGCACCAAGTGAACATTTCATGTCACCGATCTCACATAAGTGCAAAATCTTTTGCAAAATATTGAAAGACTAGTCACAGTCCAGGCAGCAACGGGCTGTAAACGCAAACTTCGGTTAAGTCTCCAAGAGTTCCAATTCAGTATGTATAGTATAGGGTTTTACGGCGCTCGCAACTGCTAAGAGTTCCAATTCAGCACCCGCACAATGTTTTATGGTCTGAAAAGAAAACTTTGCTGTCAAACAAAGTCATTGGGGCCTTTTACAGTATAATCCACTTATATCGACATACTTTCCAATTACAAAATTTTTCCTTCACTTCAATATCTTTACTAAACAATTTCTCATATAGACTTTTTAGGCCCATTCGGCATTATCGACATGCTTCCTGGGCACCTGGCGAAGCCCACAAACATAAATGGAGGAAAAAGTCACGCTAAAGGTCAACACATTAGTTCTTCATTAAGTCTGCATACCCGCCAAGTAGCCTATTTGGCACACCAGGCTTTAGTACGTCATGTAGGGCCTACACAGTGTAGTCTCCAACATAGCACAGTGCCTCACAGACGTGAGCGTCTCGCACGCAGGGCATCACCTCCCTACCCCCACTCCCAATCACTCACTCCCCTTCCCCACCCCATTCTCCCTTTCCCATCCCATTCTCAGCCTGTCGCTGGCAAGTGCCACAGTCAGTGAGTCAGTGCCTTGCCTTTCCATTTTCCCCAGCAAGCGGCCATGAACAGGCCTTACAAGGATGCTACAACAAAGTTTACACTGGTATGTAGTGTGCGCCTCACGTTGCTCGGTCTTTTGCACTGTAACTCCAAACCCCCTGCCTCTTAATAATTAGTTTCACTGCGTAGTTGTACAAAAATCAAGGGAAGCAACCGGCTTTAAAAAGTAGAGTAGTCTTTTTACCCCTGATCCCCCCTTGTTTTTTCCTCTTTGGCTTAATATTTTGATTTATCGACTTTTTTATATCGACATCAAATCCACTTCCCAAAGCATGTCGATATAAGCTGATTATACTGTATGTCATTCGCTTGCCAACCGAGACCCAAAGCCAGGACACAATAAAGAAATGACGAATGGACAACGACTATTCTCAGTTGTTTTTATTCAGATGCAACTTCAAAATATTTAAGCAGCCCCTATGTTCTGTTATATTAGACGTTCAATCTTATTAAAAAAGAAAGGACATCATTGAGACCTGAAGATGCTCTAAAGATAATTGCCGGTCATTACACTGTGTCTTGTCTGAAGGTAAATTAATATGAGCAGATCAATATTCGGGATTTGATGACCATTTTGGAAAACCATCTGTTCGAGTTGAATGGCACAGATTATATGGACCACAGTAACTGGAAAGAAACAACTGATGGAGTGCAAGGGAAAGCATAACATAATAGCAGAGGTTGATGGGGAGCAGGTGCTGTTACATTTAAGTAATTTTCTTCTTAAATCAAACAAATACGAGAATTTTATGAAACACCTCAGGGCATTAATGATGCCAGGCAGAAGCAAATTATCAAGGCAGCTCGCAAATTGAAAAAAAATCTATATTTGAAAAAGAATTCTATCCATCACTGAATCTAATTGAATATATTTATGTAGAAGAACATGCGCTAACTTGGTGACCTCTTGGTGCTGCTTCTTGAGACTGTCAATATGTACTACAATTCACATATATGAAAATAGTTGCCAGCCGACCGAGATCTATGATTGCTCCCTTACCAGTAGAAATTTGTGTATTTCTCCATCGCCACTTCTCCTCAAGACTTCTTGTGAACTCATTGAATGCACTGAGACTCTGCTCCCCATACGCTGAGGTTCAAAGATTTAAATTGAATGCTGCTGTCGGGTCACTCACTGGAAATGTTCACGACTATAGCACACAGCAGTACTCAGTTTGAGACATTCAACTTTGACCACGACATGAGGACTCTGGATTGAGAAAGGACATTCACGGCATGGGGATCACAGCAGTGCTCACACCTACTCAACTGAGGAAAACATTTATACCTCAGTCATCTGGGTAAAAACCCACCACTTTCCATGTGGTTCAATATAGGGAAGCCACTGGGAGCGTGAAGACTGGGGTGCAACAGAGTATCTTGAAGTCAAGCAGTGGTCTTTCAGATACCATTTTTCAGCCACAGAGCTGGGGCTGAAAACTTGACTCTGGTAAACTCCAATTCATTGGAAGAAGAAACCAAAGCCTCACATGCTTCTCCAAAACTGCGAGATATTCATGTAAATTAAACCATGAAATGCACCAGCAAGAAAAATGAACTAGATTGCTCTCCTGCCTGCAAATAATACAGAGGTCCCAGTTGCTCAAACGTCGGGGGTTGTAACACAAGATGACAATGACGGAGACAATCTGATATAACAGGACTTTTTCTCTGGTCCCACCATCCCTGTTATATCAGGTTTCCACTGTATTTCAATACTATACCATTCAATGGTTTTTTAAACAAATTTCCTCCTTTCCAATTCATGCCAATTTTGAGTATGTTATGAGGAAGGTTTTCTGGTTCTAATGACATCAAAATCATGTTTGCCAATTTTATACCCCCATAGTGAAATGCACAGCTAAAGTTATTCGCCTACTGGCCTCCTATGGGCTTTTCCCTCCTTAACTCTCACTCTCAATGCTGACACTCCTGGCTGCTTCTTACTGCTGTCTTTCAGCCACAACCCTGATCTTAGGTTAAGTAAGATCAATCACCTAGATCTTCTTGGATAAAGGAAAAAATTCTCAGAGGTTCTGTTTGCAAGTTGCGCACGTTAAAAATCTCTTGGTGGATAAAAAACTGATGACAATAGGTTTCGGCCACCATCTGTGCAAAATACAAGATTAATTCCTCCTAAAAACTGAAAATACACTTGTGTGTATGGAAACATCTCAAAATCATAATGTGACTGCCTGAAGGCAAGGGGCCCTACGAAGTAGGAAAAACAGTCACAAACATAAACATCAATTGCATAGCAGAGGAATACAAAGACACACTATCAACATTGATTGGTCATCTAAGTAGTAAAACAAATGCAAAAAATTATGCAAGTTTTAAAAAAAAATGAAAGACATACGAGGGTGGGCTGAAAAATTATGCGTATTATGCCACAACTTTTTATTAGCATTGTAAAAATGATGAGAATTGCTGCAGTAAGCTCTGGTGAAAAAATGAAATGGTGAAATGGTATGGGTTTAACACTATTAGGTGATTTAAGGGGCGGGACCTCCTAGTTTAACGTCCGTCTCCCATAGGACCGAGCCAAATGGGAAGTTCATGTAATGCTTTTCCCAAGGACACAACGTCGGACCGAGCTGAAGCTCGAACCTCGAACCCGCAGTAAGCTCTAACCATGTGACTACCAATACAGAAAATTTCATCTGTCTATGACGTCATTCACTTTAAAAATTGCCTGTGTGTCAGAAGATGTGGTTGGACACCTCAGCCATAGCTAGAAAGGCAACTTCATAAGAGCTTCGCTTCAAGCAATGTGCTATAAATAATAGAATTTCTTAAATTTCTTACAGCCAGAGGCTGTTCGGCAGCAACGATTTACAAAAGAATGAGATCTGTTTATCATGAAGTTTGTGTTGATGTTAACACTATAGAGGGAATAGACAAGACCTTTGAAAGGATAATATCTGACTAGACCAAATTGAAAGATCAAATGTGATCTGACAGACCACAGAGTCCCTCCAATTCAGTCAATCAAGACAGGTAAAGAGCATGATTGCGGCAAACTGTAACCAGGGATGAGTCATGGGTGCTTCACTATGACCCAAACAGCAAGCACCAGTTGATGAAGTACATGCATAGAAATTCACCTTGTCTGAAAAAAAGCTCTGTGACCTCAACAAGCTCTCTCTCCATTGGTGGTAAGTACTCTTCTGCTGCAAGCTGACAAAACACCTTTTTTTATTCACAGCAGTTTTGAGAAAAAGACATTTTTTAAATTAGAGTAAACATTTAAAAACAGTACAGTGTTCTTCCTAAATTTGAATTCTAGTTTATTTTAAAAAACTAGTTATAGTTTCACTTTGATTTTTTCACATAGTAGGGTAACTGATCTGGCTTTCGATTTAGCAAATAAAATATTTATGAAAAAAGGCGTTTTGTCATGTTACGGCAGTCTTGATCTTGCATTATAAATACAGTCTAACCTGTGTAAGACGGCCACCCATTGGCAAGGAGAAAAGTGGCCGTATAAGACAGGTGGCTGCTTAGGCAGGACTGATCAAGATGAAGAAAACAAACCGTTCCCATCTGAGGTCCAAATCGACAGTAGCCGCATTGTCGTTGCTTTTGTTGTTGTTGTTGGTGGTGGTGGTGGTGGTTTGTATTTTGTTAGTAATTTTTATTTTGTTGCTGACTTTGCACAAGGGTGACAATAAAATGCAATGTATCAGACGAGGAAGACCGAGTGCCATGTTACAACAAACACATGGGTCGCCACCACTCAGAGAACGAGCAACGCGTCGTGTCACAAGTTCATGTTGACGTCCTTTGTTACTTTGTTACAGACTGGGTAAACAGAGACCACTCATCTCACTTACGATTTGTGTATGAGTTCTGGGCGGGGCTTATGGGTTATGAGGGATCACACGCTTACCTCACCAGCAACTGAAAATTGGTAGCTATTGGTCAACAGTGGGAGGGGCCTACGCAACATGATCGGTTGGAGGGACTACCAAACAACAACGACAGGTGATTGAATTATGACAGCTCGCGCACAACGCCAGGGGCCAATGCACAATTTATGACAAAACGTAATGGAGCCACTAAGGTGGCCGTCTGAGACAGGTGTTATTGCTTAGTGTGATTCGGGTTGTGCGTTAAAATATGGTGGCCGCGGCCACGTTGGACGGGTGCCCGTTTTGTACAGTTAAATTATATAGAAAAACGCAAGGGGGGAAATGGAAAGTGGCCGTTTGTACAGGTGGCCCTCTTATAGAGGTGGCCGTCAGGGCAGGTTTGACTGTACCATTACTATATGTGTGGAATCTATCTTCTTTTTTTTTCTCCTACATTTTTCACAACATGTTTTTCAGCATTAAGCTAATAGATAGCATGGGCAAGTTCTCAAATCTGCACTCATTTCACTTAATTCTCATAACATACCGGTTTTATTTTCCTATCTAGGCATTCAAAGAGAAACTTGTTCCTTGAAATTCTAGCCTCATGGGGTCTTCCCAAAAACTTTTATTATTTCAGTAAAGTGATCCGGATCACTGCTCCTAGCCTAGAGTTTGGTAGGGACTACTATTACCAGGGGAGCAGGCTCTTCCTCTTCATAGAACTGATAAGCTGTCTTTCATGTGTGCAGTATGAACACGGGAACTGCAAAGAAAGTTGTTTTGTCCTTTGCCAAAATGACCAGATACCCAATCCCACTCACCCAAGGATCACTAGAGTAAAAATATCTTAAATAAAAAACAGGTGATCCATCAACAATTCCTGGATGGGAATTGGAAGTCTAACTTTAGAAGGAAAAGAGAAGCAAGGACATTGCTTACAGACCACAATCCCCTTTCTCAAAATCCTTTCTCATCCCTCTGTTCATGGAAATTGACAAACCTCCATTATTTCACTGGTATTGCCTCTCTCAACGGTAAACCTCACATCTACAAAGGGGGTAGCCTCCGCATTGCCTCTCCGTCTCCTTCCAGACATTTTTCTGTGAAAGAAAAAAAGAAATTTGAAGTAGACTAACAAACAGCAAATCTTTACCACCCCATCCACACCATTTAGAACCAAATAAAGGTGAGCTGTTTCTGGAACAGATTTTACAGTTGAACAACAGACACATGATGCAACACCTTCCTCCCTTGGCCCTCGGATTTAAGTCATTTACTTTTATTTTTAGTGCAAGGCAAAGAATAAGTTCAATGACCACTTAATACTCATCTGAATAAAAAAACAACAAAAAGCGTAACAGTATTTGTACAGTAATTAGTTTTAAAAAATCAAATGACAAAATGGATCTGGAAAAATAACGAGTCTGAATTTGAGCCCGAATAGCCTTCCTTGGCTATTCGGACTCTAACTCTAATGTGCGAGCGCAATCACTAGGTGTATCGGGTGTGAAGCAGACAAAGCAATTCGACCTTGGCCTTCCTCGGTTTCTACAATCTGGCAAAGGAACTTACAACAAATGGGCGCCAACCGTGGTGACCCAGTGCGAACTGTGGTCTTTTCTTTACAAAGGATAATATAATATTAGGGCCGGGCAGAGGGCAACGGTATGGGAGGGAATATAGATCTATACAGTAGTCTCCGCCTAAGATCCCACCGCTTACGATCCCGGTTCGCTTAAGATCCCGTTGTTTTAGAAAAACAGAATTTCTACTATACAAAAGTCACCCCTTAGATCCTGCTCTGATGGTCGACATTCGGCTAAGATCCCGCATTTTAGATCATAATTTGCTAAACAAAAACCCGGGCGGGCACAGCCGATCAACCAAGAGTGAAAAGTTGAGATCAATAAACTGTCCGTCGCGTCAGAGATCAGCCACTCTCGTGAATGTGATCACATACACGTTGTAAAGCTCGATGAAGCGATACAGTGTTTGCCCCCGACGGGATCACACCGGGGTGTGAACTGACCGACGTGTTTGTTTTCCCCGAACATCGCACTCACACCTGAGCTCTCCCCCTAAACTTGCATCATTCGCTGGGTGGGTAGGGCCTACACGTTCGCTCCAGGCGGGATCACATCGAACCGTGAACTCTTCCTTGGCCATTGCAGCAGTTGTCTCTACTCCCGAATTTGCCAGACAGACTGAATTTTAATTGGTGTGTTCACAACGTAATGGTGTGTAACGACAAAGGCGGTTTTGCAGGGGGGGGGGGGCTTGGTCAGAGATGGAAAGCTATAAATTTTCGACAGGTGAAGGGGAGGGGCAACTGGATAAGCTTAGATCTTGGGACTCATGATAGGATAATAAGTGAAAATGGCACGACTCATCCCACTATGCACCGTGATAGGTCATCAAGGTTAACCACTCTTTGCTCGCCATATGCCATAAACCCACCAAGGGGGCACGTCAGTTCATTGTAGAGTAGAGGGAGACCATTGTACCGATTGTAAGCCTTAACATGGGTCACCATAGATTCTTCCCTGGGTTCGTCGGTTAAGATCCCGGTTCCCCTAAGATCCCGCATTTCCTTGCTCCCGAGCACCAGGATCTTAGGCGGAGACTACTGTATATATGCAAAAAAAAAGGGGTGAGGGTGGTGGGGCAGGCCTGGGGAAGTAAGATGGAGAAAGAAAAAGTTGTAAGAGAAAGAGAGAGAGAGAGAGAGAGAGAGAGGGAGAGAGAGAGAGAGAGAGAGAGAGAGAGAGAGAGAGAGAGAGAGAGAGAGAGGGGAGGGGGGTGGCTGTCTTATATAAGGACTGATTATGAATTTTATGTTTTGATCCCTTGTAGTCATGAGATGCAGTGTACCAGTAGTTTAAAGTCCGAATAGCAACAGGAGACTATTCGGACTCACCTCACTTACGATACAACCGGTGATTGCGCACGCGCACTGGAATTTGAGTCCGAAAAGCCTCCGGCAGCAGTTCGGACTCGAGTCCAAATAGCCACTTCGAAATTTAATAGCAAAAAAAGTGCTAAATAGCGAACAGTTTGCATTACTTTTTGACTCTCCCTATGCCTACGTATTTTCGACCTAGATTCTAGATCTAAATCTAGATCTACAGTGGGGTCAAAAATGCGTGGCGCAACTTATTGTCAAAATATATCTCCTCAACTATTGAACATAGGTTCTCCAATTTTTGCACAATGACTTGTTTCAATTTGAGTAGCGGTCGATGCGCAGAGCAGAGAGTTGCAACGAGACAGTGCAAGTTGGATCGCTACATGAGATGGGTGTGCATAGTTAAACCACATGCGTGTATAGTTCAACTACAAGCTATTTCGGCGAGGTGCTCTATCTAGAGCCAGATATTAAGTGCTAATGATGGCATCGAAAATAACGACGGACATGATCAAGCCTTTCAGTGGCAATAGTGAAGTTGTGGCATGGTTGGCTAAGGTTAAACTCGTCGCGAGTTTGAGGAACATTCAGGATCTTGCGAAATTTGTACCGTTGTTCCTGGAGGGTGATGCATTGGCGTTGTACTTACAGCTTAGTGAGCTCGAAAGATCACAATATGAGACAATTGAGAAGCGTCTTCTAGAGGCATTCACAGACAGCTCATTTGTTGCGTTCAGTAAGTTGACACAGAGGAGGTGGGACGGTGAGCATGTTGATGTATTCGCGAACGAACTAAGGAGATTGGGAGGATTGGCTGGATTTTCAGGCAGAGAACTGGATAGGCTGGTTAGATTGTCCTTTGTAAATGGATTCCCTGACCCGATATCGCATGAGCTCCAACAGATGAGCCGGGTCTTCGAAGTTGAACTGTCAGAGGTAATAGCAAGAGCTAGAATCCTTACAGCAAGTAAGACTGGAATGGTCAGCGTTGCGGCGGCAGGCGGAGCCATGGCAAACGAAATGGGAAGCCACAGTCAACGTGTGAGGGCATTTAAAGGTTCTTGTTATCGGTGTGGTGGACCAAATATGGCTACGTTTTGTAGTCATCGTGCTGACATTGTTTGCTACCACTGCAATGAAGTTGGGCACATAGCCAGTCGATGCAGTCAGAGGGGAAACGGTGCCTATCAGAAGAAACAGGAAAACTAGCTTCGGGTGGCTGCTGCGCCGGCAGCTACCCGTTTGAAATGAGGGCGCAGTCTTTACCGATAATTCAAGTTGGCGTGAAGGGAGCTAAGGTCAAAGCATTGGTAGATACAGGTTGTATGGTCACAGTGGTCAGTTCACAGATAGTTGGAAATTGCGTGGTGGGCGAGAACTATATGGTGGCTTTTGATGGTTTACGAGTGCAGTGTCAGGGGAAGAAAGAGCTAATCATTGACGTGCGAGGTGTCTCGGTCTCCGTAAATGCAATTGTCTCAGATTCTATTCTGTCTGATATTGATGTGGTGCTGGGAATGGATGCTATAAACAGCTTGGGAGGAGTTTCAGTCAACCATGGTACAGTTGAGTTTGGTGTCAAATGGTGTGGGGCAGCGAAAATGGAAACTGAATCTGATCCCCCAGACCAGGCAAAGAGGAACGTGAAGCGAGCAGAGAGCGCTGTTTACGAACACAGGGAGGTTGAGGTTATTGACGACAGTGATTTTAAGGCAGTTTTTGATGGCAATACATGGACAGTGGAGTGGAAATGGAAAAGGGATCCTCCCCGCCTAAAGAATAAGATCGGATGTTATGGTGGTAAACAGATGGATATGAAGACTACGGAAGGGTTTGAGAAAGACATACAAAGTTGGATAGAGGAAGGAATACTTTTACCATGGAATGAAAAAGTAGAAAAAGGCATAATTCCGCTGATGGCTGTTGCTCAACCTACCAAGAACAAGGTAAGACCTGTCCTTCACTACAGAGAGCTCAATAAATATGTAAGCAGTCACACGGGGGGTGACTTCACGGATGTATGCGGCGAGACATCGCGAGAGTGGAGACAGACGACAGGTGCAGCAACGATTGTCCACCTGAAAGGTGCTTACCTTCAAATTCGGGTGTCACAAGATCTATGGAAATATCAACTAGTGAATTTCAAAGGTAAAACATATTGCCTGACAAGACTTGGATTCGGTCTTACATTGGCACCCCGCATCATGACGAAGATCTTGAAAACGGTATTGAGTAAGGATGACAAGATAGACTCTGCCACGCAGTCCTACATTGATGATATTCTGCTGGATGAGAGCAAGGTAACATCTGCTGCACAGGTGAAGCACCTGGCCAACTATCGGTTGACAACGAAAGAACCAGAGCCATTGGATGGTGGCGCTGCATTGGGTTTGAAGTTGAAATCTGATTCCACAGGAGATCTCATATTTTCCAGAGCCAACAGGATTCCCCATGCAGTGTCTAAAGTCACCAAACGGGAGTTGTTCTCGATCTGCGGAAAACTTACAGGTCATTATCCGGTTGCTGGATGGTTAAGGATAGCATGCAGCTACATAAAGAGAAGGGCAAATGGTACCAATTGGGAGGAGATTGTAGACGATGAAGTGGAGAAAATGTTGAAGGAAATGTTGAGCCGTTTGACTAATGAGGATCCCGTCAAAGGCAAATGGTACGTGCCTAAAGCAACCAAAGGAACCGTATGGTGTGATGCTAGCAGTATCGGATATGGTGTGTTACTTGAGGTCAATGGCAACGCGGTAGAGGATGCTGCATGGCTTCGGAAACCTTCAGATTTTGATATCAACGTAGCAGAGCTGGAGGCTGTGATGAAAGGTGTAAACAAGGCCATCAAGTGGAATATCTCTGACATCGAAGTTATCACTGACTCAGCAACAGTGGCTGGTTGGATCAAAACTGTTCTATCGGAAGAGAGGAGAGTGCACACCAAAGGGGCAGCGGAGTTGATTGTGAAGAGACGATTAGGGATATTGAAAAGCCTTATTAATGAGTTTGGTCTGGTTTTGTCGATCACCTTGGTTCCGACCAGAAAGAACAAAGCAGACATTCTGACAAGAGTGAAAAAGGAGTGGTTAAGCACTGGCGGGTATGGAATGGAGGAGAGAGAACCAGAACCATGCGTTTGTGCTACTGGTCATCTTGACTTGAAAGACTTGCACGATATGTACCATATGGGTGTAGACCGTACTTTGTATTTGGCTCCGAAGGTGCTACCAGAAACGAGCCGTGCTGATGTTAAAAAAGTCGTACAAGCTTGTGAGCAATGTCAGTCTATCAATCCTGCACCAGTTGTCCATGAGGCGGGCAATCTAGATGTCGCTACAGACTGGACAAGATTGGCAATAGACATAACTCACCATCATCAAGTGCCATACCTGTCAATTGTTGATTGTGGCCCAGGGCGATTCGCAATTTGGAAGAAACTGAAGAGAGAGACAGCAGGGTTTGTGACGGAAGTAGTTGAAGAACTAATGTTTGAGAGAGGACCAGTGCGCGAGATCTTAATGGATAATGGCACAGTGTTTCATTCAGATTGTTTTGGGCAGATGCTTCAGAAATGGAATATCAAACCATTGTTCAGAGTTGCATATATAGGCCTACGGGGAACGGGATTGTTGAGAGACACCACCGTACAGTGAAGTCCATTGCAGAAAGAGGAAACATTTCCCCCCAAGAAGCTGTGTTTTGGTACAATTCAACACCAAAAGCAGGTTTGGACCCAGCATCAGTGCCACAGAGAGCTGTCTACCGTTATGATTGGAGAAACCATATCGTTGTTAATGAAGAAGAAGACGGGCAAGGAAAATTTGAAGTTGGAGATGATGTTTGGGTTAAACCACCCCAGAGCAAATGTACGACCAAGTGGAATAGAGGTACGGTTACGGGAGTAAACTCGATCAACAATGTTGCTGTCGATGGTATGGCTCGTCACGTTCTCAATGTTAGAAGAGTGGTACGAGATGTTACTTCAGAGGAAGAGGATGATGAGGGAGGTGACAGTGAGCCGCAAACCTTGCAGACCCTGACGAGAAACGAAGGTGCAGGTGAACCCCCTCCTAGGCGGTATCCTGATCGAGTCAGGAAAACCCCCGGCTGGTTGGTGGACTATGAAACTCGGTAAATGGAGTAATCAAGTGTACAAAGTGTAGATAGCCTTGAACCATGTCCTGTTCGCACGTTGAAGAACTTCAGAAAGTTTTGTTGTCTTTTTTTGTTTATTTTGTTTTGTTTGATCTTGAGACCACGGGGGCTTGTGGTTAGCTGTGTGATTCTCGGGAAAGGGGTCGAGTAGGGTAGGCTACCTATTTGACATTGAAGAAAACAAGGACAGGCCGAGGCGTGAGCCACAGACTTTTTGAAGACTGCGTGAGTAGCGGTCGAGGCGCAGAGCAGAGAGTTGCGACGATTCAGTGCAAGTTGGATCGCTACATGAGGTGGGTGTGCATAGTTAAACCACATGCATGTATAGTTAAACTACACTACTGTTAGTGTTAGCCTAAAAGCGTTCAATTTTGTCTGTGGGCAGTGGAGAGAGAGAAAGAGAGACAGAGAGGAGTAGCGCGAGAACTTCCGGGCAAAACAAAATGGCAACCTGCATGGTTCAGCTCGATTCGAAAAGTGAAATAGCCATAGCGTCTTTGAAGACGATCAAATTAGCTTACTTTTGTGCTATAACGTAATTTTTTCTTGGCTTTTATCAATTTGATCATCCACACCGATAGACAGTATTCCAAAATGAGGAAAAACAGGTCTTGTTTCACACCGGGTGAGAATAGCCTACGCTGGCAAGTCTCACCCGGGGTGAGAGGTAGATCGTATTTCTATTCTCACCCCGGGTGAGAATAGCCACTTCCTTGAGGATAATAGATCTTCTAGATTAGATCATATCTTTGTCAGCGTGCGTCGGCGACCGATCGGTGATCTTGTAGTTCCGTTCGTTGTTACTGTTCCAAGTAAGCTATTGAGACCAAAGAACTTGATCGATGCACAATCGAGGTGGATTGAACAATGATGGGTAGATCTAAATCTAGATCTCTAGATCTACATGTTGAAATGAAAACGATAAAGTAAAGATGTAAGGAAAGGCGTCACTTACTGAATTGGTTGATATCGATAGACCTATATATCTAGATTTAGATCTACGGACACGAACGATGACGTTGGAAAGCTGTGTCCTGAGGATGCAGTTATGACGAACACAATGCTCTCTGCTCTACACTCTACACTCAGTTAGGCCTACACTCTTCTAACATTGATAAATAATGGTTGGGGAAAACCGGATTCTCTTCCAAAGTCCCAACTTCCCACAGAATTCTACACGTGTTTCTTCCATCTCTTCTTTTTTTTCCTCCAAAAATATTATTATCGAGCCTGTTCGAGTTGCTCTAAATGTTAATTTTGTTTGTTCTAGGAAAAGCGGTTTGGGGGGGGGGGGGTAGAAAATGACAATATGTTTATAAAATACCCATAATTATGATTATTATTAATTTTATCACTATTGTATTATTATCATAATCATTATTCATTATAATTATTATTGTTATTATTCTTATGTTATTTCACTTTGACGTACGTTTGAGCCTTTATTTTATTGATCGATTGTTGTTGTTAGTTATTTTTGTTGCTGTTGTCGTTTTGGGTTGTTAATGGTTGTTTTTGTTTTTTTTTACCGCGACTCGTCTTTGTATAGCCTAGATTCTAGTATTATTTTCTCTGACGTTGATTCCATTAACTGGAGCTAGCTCAGCAAAGTCTTGAAGGACTGATAACAGAACTTCACTGTTACTGTTGTAGTTGTAGTGGGTGGGCTACATGTTCAGAGAAGTTAATTTTCTTAATTCTGAAGTGGTTTCGCCTCTCTCTCTCTCTCTCTCTCTCTCTCTCTCTCTCTCTCTCTCTCTCTCTCTCTCTCGCCGATCTTAAAAATCGGATTTTCCCGTTCTGGTGCCGGTGTAAACGCCCAGAACACTACCGTGCAATAAAGACTACCGTAGTGGTTTTGGCGTAAGCTTTCATGCCATAAACACTACCGTAGTGATTTTTGCACATGCTGTAAACACTACCCTAGTCACTTTGGCGTACACTGAGAACACTATCTCTAAGCTAAAAACACTACCGCTTACACGCCAGATTGACCACCCACGCCAAAAACACTATCATCATTCTTCGTCAATAAACACTACTGCAGTTGTTTTCATGGTTTAGACAATATGCTCAAAAAACTATCCCAGTATTTTTAAGACCAGTTGATCTACCTTGAGCTACTTTACGTAAGAGATGACACCTGGAATGAGGCTTACCTTCAAAGTTTTATTATCCTTTAGTTTATCCATTATTGCGTCATTTGACCAAGTATTATGCCTCAAATAGATATATTTCTTCTAAAAATGCTTTTGAAATGAAGTGATTTACTACTTCTGAGAACAAATTTTGAATTAAAATTGCATTTTCCTCGAAATCATATTTTTCTGTACATTTTTTGCTAAAAGTCAGAAGTTTATGAATGGATTCAAATTCAAACGAAACTTGGCAGAGAGGTGGTCCAAATAAAGCTAAGCAATATATCATATGCTTTTATTATATCTTATTTCTACCTAAAGTTATTGATGTTTGTAAGTGGGAATAAAATAGATCTGAGGCTTTAAAAAATTTTCAGTGACTAATTTTTTTCAATATTTTTTTTCTCTAAAAATATAGATCTATAAGATACATGTAACTGAAAAAAGCTTGTGATGTCTTGATTTTTAGAGATTTAAAAAAATACCAAAAATTATGGTTCATTTTCCTTTATAATTATGGCCACCTTTTTCTTAAATTGTATCCAATTCCTATATGAGTAATTTTCAAAGAAACTGACCCATGAACAAGGTAAAACGTACGCTCCTTGACCTTAAAAATAGGTTTTCAAAACTGCCCAAGCTCTTTTGTAAATCTAGCTTAGTTGGCAAAAAATGGCAAGTTCCACAACACACACACACACACA